TAAGTYGAGATGCAGTTGCCATGRTAATTTGGGGGGAAAAAGGTAGATGCAAAGGAGAAAAAGTAATCTTTATTGAAACTAAGGATGAAGAAAGGGGGAAAAAATGAAAAATATGTTTTAAGATGGCAGGTTTGGTGGATCGTTTCCAGGCTTGTACTGAGAGGGCTGGTCAGTATTAGCGGTGCCATGCATTTTGGCAACCTTCAAGTYATGTAGAAAACATGTCTCATTCGGTTGCACATCTCACTGCATTGGTTAATGTGACTTTTTTAACGTGTATTTCTCTAAACCTTACTGACTGAACAGCCCGTCTTACAAGAGGAAGAAGGAGTACGTCTAGGACCCGTAACTTAGCACGATCACGTGTCACCAGCTATGTTGGATAACAAGGACAACTAAGAATGTTCTGTCATCCAACATGGCGGCCGCCAGGTGTTGGCGCAACCACCTAATAACATAGTAAATAAATTGATCAGAACTTGACTAATAACTAAATGCATAACTGCATGTATTTGTAGAGAAGAGACTTGAAAATTTGTTATAAACAAAGTAGTATAGAAAAAAGAAATTGACTTTAATTGTTGATAATGACATTTATAAAAATAAAGAAATGACCTTATTGTGTTTATTGGGTTTATTACAGCATCATCACATCGTCCATGGACATCTTTGATCGTCTTGATTTGTGTGTGCGTCTGTTTTTGTTTTTTGTTTTTTTTGTTTTTTTGTTTTCTATCAGGGTTGGGTTAGTCTATTTTCTGACAAAGTAAACCCTTGATATATTACCAGTCCCCCTGGAAATAAAGTTGTAGAATTATTAGTGACTAACAGTCCAAGTAAGACAAAGAAAATGGAATTAGTGTATACCACAATGTATTGTTCTTGCTATTTTTCACAGCGGGGCGAGTATTGTAAAAATCCCCTAGAGTGATTTGATTTGGCCCGTGAAATAAAGTTGTATAATCAGTTAGTAACATACAGTCCCAAGTAAAACAAAAAGAAACGATGGAATATGTGTCTACTATTTTGTATTATGCTTGTTATTTTTCACGGGTCAAGTAAAACCTCTCTAGCCCACCTTTTCCTCTCTATCGACCATCATCGGCATGCTGCATGCAGTCAAGGTTTAAGAACACGCGGTGCATTTCAACTAGCTGCACAAGCACGCAACATGTTGAACGCATGGGTTGTTGCTTGGCCCTGAGTTTCAAACAATCCGGTCATTTTATTCAAAATTGTCGTTTATTACCACAAAAAAATTACTTTTATAACCATGCACATGCACAAGCTGAAACAGTCCATATATAACCGCCATTTCAGTGGCCTAGCTAACATGAGTCAAGGTTAACGTTCGTTTTTTTCAAGGACAGAAATTATGTATTTTACATCTAGGACATCTAGGACTTTTCAAGACTATACGAACCCCCAGAGTGAGACTTGATACTTCCTTTAGTTAAAATTATACTGCTATCGTATACTACATGCTGTTTGCCAGTTAATCTTTTGTAGCTGTATCTAGTTGTTCATGGTGAAGGAACGTTTCCTCTGATGCGGCCGTTGTTAATCTCATTCCATGCGTAATCATACGCATCCAAATATTTCTTTTCACACTCTCGCACATGATATGCTGATCCAGGGATGTTTTGGACCCGAACTTGTAACGTATACCCAAGTCTCATGGCCCTGTTGATGAGATCACCCTTATGTGAACCGTCCCTACAGTATTCAAGAATACGTTGGTTCATGGAGCCGGGGCCATCTCTGTGAGCCATACCAATATATACCACTGGTTTTCTATTTCCCCTTACGACACGAAGCTCGTAGATACCATCATCGTATGAGAGGAATCTCTCCCTTATCTTGCTGTAAATAAAGCCGTAGTGGCCCTCGTCACGTCGCTCGTAGTTTT